ACATTTACATGAATCGTGTGTGTGCATAGGCACATCTGCTTGTGCTTCAGTATCAGTATGCCCCTTTTGACACAGTAGAACTACAGAATGAGTGTGAAATTGATATTAGCAAGCAGTTGTACTCAACAATATAGAACTGGTGAATTGGGGAGTAAAAGTGTTCTGATTCATGTAATTGGGCAGTTGTTAGCTATTTTATATGTCTTTCTGACATAATAATAACAACAATGAGATATGGACTAGATGGATGGGGAAAAGTGTATAAGAACCACATTGGATAATATGCTTCAGGATCATTTTACTTTTAATGAAGTTGCAACTGAATGATACATGTGAGCTAGCAATTGTTAATATAGCTAAAATGTTTTATTGAATCATTTCTTTCAGGCTATAGAAGAATTCAAAAAGGGAAAAGTCGAATACAGAGCTGATAAAACTGGGATTGTTCACATTCCTTTCGGGAAAGTTGACTTCTCAGAAGAAGACCTCCTTCTGAATTTCCTTGCCGCTGTAGTATGTCACATTCTGTTCTTTCCTTGGCACCTCTTATGTCCCTCTCCTTCAGCGTTTTGCTCTCCATTCTTTCTTTTGAGCAATATTAGTGTCTACAACTGCAATTCTACTTGGGATATTTATTATTTTTGTCTTTAATTTGACAGAAATCAATTGAAACAAACAAGCCAAAAGGTGCAAAAGGAGTATACTGGAAAAGTACACACATATGCACATCAATGGGGCCTTCGATTCGGTTAAATATAAGGGAGATGCTTGATTACAAGCCTCCATCAAAATTTGAAGATATGACTAACAGCTGTAAATGTCTTCAACCCTTCAATCAGCCATGTAGGCATTCTCTGTCAGAGCGTCCCAGTGCTCAGTGGAAATGGTCAGAGAGTAACTAGGGGGAGAATGGAGAGCAATTGTTTAGAACAAATCCTAGTGAAATCAGGCATACCAGATTATGATTCTGTATACAGACTGAGACTTGTATCATCATATGATTAAATAGCATCAATTTTATTACTTTTTATTTTCTTATTTCTCAGTTGGAGGTCTTTTGAGTGAAATCCGGTGTTTCCAGCTTGATGTGGTAGGATTCTTGTGCAGGGTTTCTTACTTTGGGCATTCTGGTTCTAACAGGATTTGGAGTCCATTCTGTTTGAGGTGTAGACTCTAAAAACTACCGACCAAACAATTCCATGATTCCCAGTAAACCTCTGAACACTCTTTTCATTGAGAAAAGAGGGAAAAAAGAAGCTGGGAAGCCATAGAAGTTCAGCTTTTCCTTGCCCCTAACATGTCGTTGTGTTTCATACCTGTCTAAATTATTCAATTATTTCATTGGACCGAATCCTTAATTTTCTTCGTGACGGACATATGCTTGAAACAAGCATGCGTGACTTGGTTGGGTTGGTTACAGCGTACGATGATTTTAGTTTTGTCCAAGTGCCGAAAATCTGTTGAATAAATCAACTCATCGTAAAAAATTTCCCTCGAACGTATAAATAAATTCGTAACCATGGGTCTTGGTCACGAGTTTCAGACGACTCGTTCAGATTCCAGCCGGTGCAAAAGTCCAAAACCCAAAAGGCCAACGTGCATCAGAAGTTCCATACATAACTCGGCCACAGACCATCGGAGAGCTGCAGATTGGAACTCACTTTGAAGTTTGAGATGAATGAAGCAGAAAAGGTAGTGTGCGTAACCGGAGCGTCTGGTTACGTAGCTTCATGGCTTGCTAAGCTCTTGCTCGAACGTGGCTACACTGTCAAAGCCACTGTTCGTGACCCAAGTCAGTTGCACTCCTCTTTGCTCCCGCTTTTCTTATTATTACTTATCTGTTCGTTTCAGTTCACTTCTACATCAAAAATGCTCTGTCCGAACATGCAACAGATGACCCGAAGAGGACAAAACACTTACTTTCACTTGATGGGGCAAAGGAAAGACTTCATTTGTTCAAAGCAGAGTTAGTGGACGAAGGATGCTTTGACTCTGTAGTGGATGGATGCCAAGGTGTTTTCCATACAGCCTCCCCTGTGTTCATTTCTGCTGCTGACCCACAGGTCTATTCTTTACTCTTCTTTTTCTCTTTTTTGCAGATTTTGTATTGCTCCCTTCACGGATCAACCACTTGCTTAATTCAATATAAAAACTTGTTAAAGCTACAGTAAGAAAAGATTCATTGAGATTTCGGCTCATATTTCTGTACGCATGATGAACCTCCTTACATTATAGCAACTATGCGAGTTGGCCTCGATGCTGTAGGATGATGAACCTTTTTATGACTTAGTTTTCATCGAATTCTTAAGCAAGAGGTTTCAGCTTTTGTCCGATTTCAGGCAGAAATAATTGATCCTGCGGTCAAGGGTACACTTAATGTTCTTAACTCATGTGCAAAAGTTCCTTCAATCAAGAGAGTTGTCATTACATCTTCCCTGGCTTCAGTTATATACAATGGAAAACCTATATATGGCTTCAGTCCGATTTCTGTACACTTAGTTGTTTATTTCTTTTTCTTCTAGCAGCCTATATATTTGGCTTCTTTTGTTATCAAATAAAATGTGTGGCAGAGCACTGCTTTTGAGATAAGTAATTTTGTCTCTTTCCTCCCTCACGACCTTCATCCTCTGTTCCTCATTTGTCTTCATTTTTTCCAGAAATCATCCATTCTTCTACAGACTGTAAGCTGAGCTCGTTTCTTTTTCTGTTATTTTCTTCAACGGCTAGAACAGTGATGACCCATTCCACGTTAGATAAGAATGCGATTAAGAACAGATTATCTCAAAGAATTGTTTAGTTGCTTGAACTACTGATCGTTTTACTTCCTCTATCCAGAAAATTACTGGATCGATAATGGAATTCTCATAAGAGTCTTGTTGGCTTTCATTCATGGCAGATGTGAAGCTCTTAACAAGCCCCTTGAGCGAACTTACCAGATATCCAAGGAGAATGCAAAGAGTTCGGGTGTCAGCTTCATTCCTTTGGAGGTGAGTCTGATGGAAACTATTGAAAGCCTGAAGGAGAAGGGTTTCTTAAGCATCTGAATTGTTACTTCATTTTGAATGCTCCCTGTTGTAGGAACATGTTATTTCTACGTACTAGAATTGGAACTATCTTAAGTACTTTTTATCGCCATAACTCAAAGAATACCCTTTGGAGTCAATAGCTGCATGGAGATTGGGTTCTGGTTCACGTTGCCTGCAGCTGATGAACATATGGAGCATTAAGGCTCCTCTTTTTCGTCTTGCTTTAGGAAGTAAAGTGTAATGTTTTCTGCACCGTGCCTACTGCCAGTCATTAGACTGAAGTCGTTGACTTCCTTCTTGTCGAAATAATAACTACAGTTAGTTGTATAAACTGTAAACTTCTGAGGTATCTTTGGCCCTTCCACATTAGGAAAGATGTTGTCTGGACAACGTCTGGTTTTCAACTTAGGCTTTGCACGTTCAGTTCATATGAGTTGGACTTAGAAGCATCTTTCTTTTAAAAACCCAAAATAAAGACAGCTTCACTCCACCAATTTGCTCTGTCAACTGTCAACTGTCAACTGTCACCTGTCATCTGGCATCTGTGCTAAATTTAATACTACTACTTTCTCATGAAAAGCACTCTATTTCTTGTCTAAAATTAGCCAAAATTTTAAGGCAAAAGTTCATGACTGCGCTACGTCGTTGCCTACGTAATTTGTTCTCCCCTCATTGTTAAGTAATTGCAGCCTTGCGTAATTGAAGACATCAGACAAAACAAAAAAACAACAAGGGGAAAAAAGAAGAAAAAGACAGTTAACAATTTGGAAGAAGAACATACAGGAACAAAAAAGGTGGCAAAGCATAAATTCCTGTCGCAGATGCTTTAAGGTAAAGAGCTTCTTAGTAGCTGGTTTTGCACGCACTCGATTTTGATCAAGGATTTGATCAAAGTTCGATGTTGAAACTGAAATTTTGTTTGTCATGGCAGTGCTGGAGTGGCAATATACCCACGTGCCATAATTTAGATTCCATCCATTACACAATTCTAAAAACACCAGAGAACTTTGTAACTGGTCTACTGACAACTAAGTCACTGCTGGGTGCTGAAGTTAGAGCTTCGGGAATCTAGCTGGAGATGAGTAGTGCAGCAGAGAAGGTGGTGTGCGTGACCGGAGCGTCTGGTTACATTGCTTCATGGCTCGTTAAGCTCTTACTCCAACGCGGCTATACTGTCAAAGCCACTGTTCGCGACCTAAGTCAGCGCTGCCCCCCTGATCTTTCTCCTATTCTTCTTTTTATGTTTGTTTTTCATCAAAAGAATGAATGTGCTACTCTGTTTGAACCTGGAACAGATGATCCGAAGAAGACAGAACACTTGCTTGCGCTTGATGGAGCCAAGGAAAGGCTTCACTTGTTCAAAGCGGAGTTGACTGATGAAGGATGCTTTGACTATGTAGTGGAAGGATGCCAAGGTGTTTTCCATACAGCATCTCCTGTATTTTTGTCAACTGCTGACCCACAGGTTCTTATCTTTCCAGTTTGTAATTGGATCACTGCGTTAAGTAAATGAAAGATCAGATGCAGGATGGGGAAACCATAGTTAAAAGAAGAGTTTGATTCTTTAGATTTAAGAGTTTTCACGCTTATTGATGGTCAATTTTTATACAAAAAAGTTTCAGCTTTTCCCAATTTCAGGCAGAAATAATTGGTCCAGCACTCAAGGGTACCCTTAATGTTCTTAAATCATGTGCAAAAGTTCCTTCAATCAAGAGAGTTGTCTTAACATCTTCCATGGCCTCAGCTCTATACAATGGGAAACCTTTGACTCCTGATGTGATGGTTGATGAGACTTGGTTTTCAGATCCACGCATTTGTGAGGAAAGTAAGGTGTGTTTTCTTGGTACTTACTAAATATGGTATGTCCTGCACATTCACTGTCGTTTATTTGTTCCTAGTGTTCAAGAATCTATGAGTGAGTAATCTCAGTTATACAAACTCTCTAATTCAATTTATATGTCTCTGAATCATAAAGTATCGATTCTTCATGATTTTCGGGTTTTTCCAGCTTTGGTATATGATGTCGAAAACTTTAGCCGAGGAGGCTGCTTGGAGCTTTACAAGAGATAATGGGATTGATTTGGTTACAATCAATCCAGGAGTTGTGATTGGTCCTCTTTTACAGCCAGCTCTTAATTTCACATCAGAGCTGATACTAAACCTCACAAAAGGTACTTTTCTAACCTATTGATGCCGATGCACATATATTTTCTTTCTCCAATTGTTTAGGAAAAAGAATTCACTTCGTCCCATCACTTTCTAGACGGAAAACTATACCTTATCTCTGGTAAGTTTGGGAAGCATATGATAGATCATCATGGGGTAGTCCATCCCCATGATAATTGTGTTTGTTGCAACTTGCAAATGCTTAATGGCATCATTCCTGTAATTGCTGCTAGATCCTTCTAAGGGTTGTATTCTGTTGCTATTTCTGTTGTGAAAACAATGGTTAAAAATCTTTTGGATGCAGGAGAACACACTTTCCCAAGTCCAACTTTTAGGTTAATTGATGTTCGAGATGTTGCATATGCACATATTCAAGCGTTTGAGATTCCTTCAGCTAGTGGCAGATATTGCTTAGTTGAAAGAATTGTACACTATTTGGAAATTCTGAAGATGTTGAGTGAACATTATCCTGCTTTGGGCCTTAAAGAAAAGTAAGCAACCGTGTTTATCTTGCTATTTAGCACATCGCCAAATGCAACTTACATGTACTCTGATTTGTCTCCATCACATCTTACTTTCACTGGATTTCTGTGATGAAACCTTTTATCGTTTTCTCACTTGACTGTTCTAACTTGATAAATACTGCAATGGTAGAGTGAATATTGAGTGAACTTACATGAATGAGCTACCGTCTGCCATTTCATTACATAGATTACTGCTGGTATCCATGGGGAGTTGTTTGTCAATGGAGTTCTTTAGACTGTAAGCTGAGCTCGTTTCTTTTTCTGTTATTTTATTCATCAGCTCAAACTGTTACAACCCATTCCATGTTATATAAGAATGCGATTAAGAACAGGTTATCTCAAGGTTGTTTAGTTGCCTGAACTTCTCTGTTCAGAAAATTAATGCATCGATAATGGAATTCTGATAAAGATTCATGTTGGCCTTCATTCATGGCAGATGTGGAGATCTTAACAAGCCTCTTGAGCGAACTTACCAGATATCCAAGGAGAAAGCGAAGAGTTTGGGTGTGAGCTTCATTCCTTGGGAGGTGAGTCTGAAGGAAACTGTTGAAAGCTTGAAGGAGAAGGTTTCTTAAGCATCTGAATTGTTGCTTCATTTTAACGCTCCCTGTTGTAAGAACGTGTTATTTCTATTTACTTCTAATCATCTATCAGTTGGATAATCTGGAAGTGTCTCTACTTTCAGGGACTGCTGTTTCGTGTTGGAAACTTCAGTTTCCATTTACTTCCCATTGTAGTCAGCATAGGTTGAGAATCTATGGAAAAACCAAACTGAAATTCAAGCATCTGAATTGTTGGAAAAGAGTTGGCATATGAATCTCTCTCTCTTTCTTTCATTTTCCCCAGTATGAGCACTCTGTACTCAGCTAGGCTAGATCACCATTAAAAACAAATTTGCAGCAATATTTTATAAACTTATAATGGTCCTCAACCCATCAAAAAGTCTGACAATGTGATTTCTACTGTCATCAACCCTGTTTGACATGAAAAGAGAAGTAAAATGCTAGATGATCATCCCCCATCTTTCCCACTGCTCTGGTACTTGTTCATAAATTACACATCCTTATTGTTGGGTGCTTTTCCTTCTTTTTCACGTTCAAGATTATAGAGCGATAAAAGTGAGAAACACCAGTATACTCAATCTCAAGGTAAAAATATAACCAACATTAACAATAGACCATTTTACACTTAAATTAAAACGCTAGATCAGTCGCAATTTTTCCATGCAGCTTATATACGGTGACATTAGCCACCAAACGATACGGAACACCGTGACAATGGCTGCATAACTGAAATGCTTCGCAAAGTTGTTTCCATCAATGCTTGCCTGATTGTGTAGTTCGTGGTTTGTTGCAGTTGTACCCATCATTGGTCCTATAAGACCAAATGTCTTGCCGTTGATGGAAACCGCCACATCATTTAATGTTTCAACCATGTTCCAATATGCACTTTTGGCTCCATTGATTATTCTTAACCCATCCATAACTTCAACACCCTATCCTTACCACCAGAGGCAACTTTCTCACCATCTGGGCTCCAATCAACAGCATAAACCTTTTCAAAAGGATAACAAAGATGAAGATCAGTCACTAGTATGTTGGCAAAGCAATATAGATGATTCTTTGCTAGTGGAGAACTTACCTCATCAGCATGGCCTGGAAGGTCTTGTTTCAATTTTTTTGTTTGAATATCCCACACCTTGAAAATAACAATCAGTTAGGTCTCATTAGAAGAGAGGGAGATGGTAAGAATAACATGCATGTTAAAAGAACATTAGCATTCCATCCAAGGCCCCAACCATAGAAATAATGAAGAGATAAAAAAACATTGGGCTTAGAGGAGGAGGTTGGGGTTGGGGGAGAGACCCTAAGCCAGGAAGGACAGATAGGTAGCAGAGGTTGAAAGAGGGAAGAATAAGAATACCACCCATGACAGAACAATAGCTCTCAATTAACCAAGTTCAGAAAGGACAAAAAAAAAGCTAACTTTAATTTGGATCATTTCTATGCTGCCTCAAAAATTGAGCATGTGAGTATGTTAAAAAAAAAATGCCGAACCAACAATCTCAACCATTTCTCAGGATCTTTCAATACCAAAAAGAAAAAGCTGATAAGAAATTTCTAGGAATTACCTTCAAGGTGGAGTCTTTGCTCCCACTTAAAAGAAGCCTACTATCTGCGGACCAGCTGCTTGGCAACATGCAAGATAATCATCAACCATGAAAATAAGAGAAAGGAGATATGGAAACAAATTATAGAAACAGCTCAAACCTGATCTGATAAACAGGCCCAACATGCCCCCGGAATGCAGCAACAAATTCTCCAGTAGTACCATTCCACAACTTGACTGACTTATCAAATGATGCACTAGCCACCCATTGCCCATCAGGTGAGAAATAAACATGGTTCACAAGCTACAAGCAAACAACAAAAGTTACAAACTTAAAGCATGAAGAAACCGACAACTGATTAAAATCAGGCAGACTGGCAGCAGTATAAGTTGTACCTGTTGATGACCAGTCATGCGAGCTTTGTGGTGTTTGCCGACAGCAGGTTCCCAGAGGAACATGGTAAAATCATCAGATCCTGATACCAATCTTTCTGGGGCACTGCCCTTCATTTTGTTGTATCTTTCTAGAGCAACCTACATTTTATAATGCAAAAAAATATAATTTCTCTCTAACAAGAAAAAATGAGAGAGCAGGAAGCTTGAATACAACACTCAACTGGTTATTACATCAACATTAGGGGGAAAAAATTGAAAAATAGTAGTAATTGTAGAGAAAGAGACAGAGAGAGAGTAGAATTACAGAGATAAATTTTTATTGATACAAGAAATTATGACACCAAATAAGTAACACTACCTTCTTCATTTCTTCTGGAGATGAATATTGTTTGCCAGTATGATCAAAAGCTCCAGTGCGAAGAACATATTCTGTGCTCAATGCAAGGGAGTTAACCCAATGCCCATGACCCTAGAACAAGTAGTATACGGAAATGAATGGCTGCAATAAGAAATTTAGACCACATACAGTAGCAATTTGATGTATAGACATGCCAGACGGGAGCTTAATACAGAGATGCTCTAACAGATGCAAAAAGTTACCTTCAATTCACGAATTAGCTTCCCTTGTGAAGTTTCCCATACTTTGATAGTACAATCCTGGGAGCTTCAGCCAGTTAACAAAAAGAGATCATTACTGAGCAGTTAAAGTCTAAATGGTAGCTGTTAATAGACAAAATTTGTTAATACAGAACAGCTCAACAATTATTTGCATGCAACCAAGGTCTTCACGGAAGCTTGTAACGCTTCTGATGGTAGGGAACGGAGTTGAATTCCTTAACCTCTGTTCTTCCAAGACCAATTCCCATAAGACACTGAGAGTCACATCTGGCCCGCTCATTAGATTCTTAGATACTTGGATGATGAAATACACCACAAGTACTCTCCTATACTTTGTGCATTATAATAAAAATTGAAAGAAAAAGAAGGAAAACAGCATATATTTTGAACTGAAAAAAAAAAAAGACACCAAGTAATTGGGATTTGAGCTTTTGTTAAGATGGGTAACAAAATGTATAATGCATTCTTTCGTAAAGGAAATCAGAAGTGAACATTTGACAATCAATAGCCTAATTATTTCAATGCCATTCCTACAAAAAATTAGACTCCACTTTCATGGAACAGACTAAAATGCCACTAGTAAATATAATCAATCATAGAAACAGAACAAAATTGTACCCTGTATATATGACTCCATCTCCACCCCATTTCACACATGTTACTGCAAGTGTGTGGCCACTGAGACAAATAACACATTTCTTTAAGGAAATATCCCATATGCGGGCATCACCATCTTTGCTAGCACTTACAAAGCGACGGCATGGAGCATTTAGATGGAGAGGTTCCCATGAGATACCAGTGATCCATTTCTTGTGGCCCTAGAGCAGAATCCAAGTATTAGCACCAGAGATTATATGGGTAAAACACTGACAAAACACAAAAGGAAAGTACCCCATTGTTTTTTGACCAAATCCATTAGACAAAGAGTTCCAGTTTAAAGAGGTCAAAGGAAACTATACTATTTTATGAATAAATTATATAGTCATTCAAGAATAAAGACTTTACAGTAAGCGGATTGCCTGCAGGCTTCCCTGTATGTGGATCCCAACACTGAAGTTCTCCAGATTTGCTACCACTTACAAGATGTTTACCATCCGGAGACCATGCAATACAAAGAACCCAATTCTTGTGTCCTGAGTAAAATCAGAAGGCATATGATTAACATAAAGTAGTGAAATGCAATGCGTGCTAAGAATGACAACAAACTGAATTTAATGTTAAATAGCTTGTCTTTTTCTTATTCAATTTGTATCCTTAAATACTTCACTGTTGGTCAAACAGCTCAGCAGGCAACTCACTCAGAAAGCAATATCAAGTCCGAATTTTCTAACCTGTACATGTAAACATTGGTGTCTGGGTATTTAGGTCCCATAGTCGGACAGTGGTGTCACCTGAGCCACTTGCCAACTGTCGTCCATCAGGACTAAAGGCTATAGAAAGCACTGGTTCAGTATGACCTGTCACAACAAAGCAACGAGAAAGATTTAGGATAGCCAACAAAATAACACTAACATAATGCTAGTGAACATTTTACTTTTAATGAATCCCCATATAAAGAAACAAAAAATATAATTGGCTTCTCAATTAGAGCCTGAACCAGAACATTATTGCTTTGAAGTTTAATCATATTATCATATCAAGAGCCCATATGACAGAATTTTTACAAGAATTTTGTTTCCCTGTAAAGAAATAGGCCAACAATAAACGAGTAATGAGACCCTGCTTGTGATTGCACCACCAGAACAAAACCAGAGAAACAAAATAAGTATGAACAATAATTTTGGTGCAGGTAATAATTAAAAAAGAAGCTTTCCAAAATTTATTTCAGCATCTAATAATTTCAACATCCATTATATTAACATTTCCACAGCAAAGGAAAATCAATCCATACCAGCAATTGTAGCTGAACACCGATTAACTGGACGAATCCGGAAAACTGCCTGCGGTTGATAAACTATTGATAGTGTTTTCTCCATGGAAACTGAAAATTTGTTGGTCCAGATTCACCAACGAATAAAAGGTTAAGATTATTGAGAAATATTAAAAAAAATCAAGTACTAGAAGCAAAACTGTTACAATTTCACTTATATCGATCCGAACTGACCTTTGTTTTTCTCCAAGTAAGTTCCAAGTGGCACGAGAAGCTCCTGATTAGATATATAAAATGCATATGGTAGCTTCTCCTCCTGAAGCAAGCCAAATTGCAAAATTCATCACTCTTCATTCTCAACAAGCAGTTTATTATCATGACAACTTGATCATATTGGGAAGCAAAATGGGCAAAATACTAAATGAAAAAAAAATTCAAATTTTTTATAATTCAACCAACTATATCCAAGCAATTGGCATAAAACTTTGAATAAAAATGCATCAAATGTAAATTAAAAAATAAATAAATTTAACAACTTGGAACTAATTAGACCAAATATAATGCAATGAAACCGAACCAAAGAAAAGTTACATTTTTGAGAAGCGTATTGACAATCTGTTGAAGCTGAATAGGACCGACGTTTTGGGGAAGATACATGGTGCCGCCCAGAGTAATCCCTTCTGGGTCTGTTAACACGCACATCACGCTTTTCCCCGTCTCTCCCTGCTCTGTTGCCACCTCCATTTTTTCCTTCCCCTTTTTGTTCGCTGTAAACAATTCCGAAATTCCGGAGAAAATCAGAGGGTTTCAGAGGAGTTTAGGGTTTTTGGTTTCCGCGCGATTGAAAGTGGGAATATTGGGGGAACTCTTCATTAGGGTTTTTGAAGGGGTTTTGTGTCGGGGGTTTAAGTGGTGATGGTGGCCTTTAAAGGTGAGCAAATGTGAACCGAATGCACAATGGAACCGAGTTGAAATGAGTTTCGGTTTTTTTGAATAATTTGATTACGATAATTCAATTATTAAAATTAATTTGATTTGATTTTGATTAAAAATTTTTTTAATTGAACCTAAGTAAGAGCATTATGGGAATTTTACATAAAAAAATTTAAATTTAATTTATTTTTTAATTCTTTTTTAATTATACGGATTTTTATCTTTTTTATTATAATTTAATATTTTTTAATATTAATTTATAAAAATATAATATAAATAAAAAATAAAAAATTTTATTAAATTTAATCTTTACAAATTGAATTGAATTAATTAAATTAGTTCGATTTCGATTAATTCAATTATTTGTATAATTCGATATAATATTAATTATTTTTAAATATAAATTTAATTAATTTAATAATTAAATATTTAAAATCGAATTAATTGAAATATTCGTTTGCACAATGGGTCTTGGTGAAATCCACTGGAAGTGGCTGCGGCTTACCTACGTGGCCTTATCTCAACCCTTTGCATTTTAGTTTAGTTCATATGTTTGCTGTCAATTTATGAAAAATAAAAATAATAATAATAACAAAAATTAAAAAACTTCAATCTGACCACCGTAATTAGTGTTAAAAGGGGCGGGACGTTGACGAACGTAAACACTAGTGTCAGACATTAGTTTCTTTGAGTTTGGACTGTTGCCGTTTGGATTCTCTTCCTCGTTTGTTTCTGTCTGACTCTTTCAGGAGTTCCACGGTATAAACAAAGACCCTGAACCATTGTTAAATTGGATTACCCCGGGGGGCAATCAGAATTCAGGAGAAATTCCCAGAACCAAGAAATGAAAATCATCGCTGCTTGTAATTGCCTTTTCGATGTAATTATCTTCATCTTGTTTCTAACATTACTGCCACAATCCTTTTCGAGAACTGAAGCAGTCGAGCCGATACTCACACGGTTAGATTCTAAACGATCCTCTCCATCTGTTCAAGAATCAGCCGCTAAAGCCGTTTTGGGAAGATTGCTCCCTACCCATTTTCACAGTTTTCACTTTGAGATTGTCCCCAAGGTTTGTCATTATATGTTGGGTCTTTGGTTTCTGAATTGCTTGTTACTGTTGTTGTTACTTTACTTGTTTCAGTTATTGGATTCTGAAAGAGGAAATTAGTATAATTGTTGTTGTTGTTACTATCTTTGACAGTTTTTTTTTTTTCACTTCCCAATATCAGGACGTTTGTGGTGGACAAAGTTGCTTTCTGATAGAAAATTACAATCGGACTAGCCAAGATGGACCAGAGATAATGTATGTACAAATCAATTCTTGTTGAAGAACTAAGATTACAGTTTCATCATTATTGAGTGTGAGGGTGCATGTCTTTTAATGACTTTGTGTTTTGATCAGTGATCATAGCCCTCAGCATGTATAATGTTATTCGTGATTATAAGGATAAGACAAGGGGTTTGAGATTATCTTCTTTTCTTCATTTTTGCTTCAGTTTAAGAAGATAGGGAAATGTTTAGTTTACTATTTTGGCATTTTGGTTGCCGTTTTCTTTTTTTCAATTCCAGAATTAAAGGTACCACAGCAGTTGAAATTGCATCTGGCCTCCACTGGTATATTAAATATTTCTGTGGTGCTCATGTATCTTGGGACAAGACTGGTGGTGTGCAGATAGCGTCTGTTCCCAAGCCAGGTTCATTGCCCCTTGTAAAAGATGGGGGTGTGCTGATTCAACGGCCAGTACCATGGAACTATTACCAAAATGTTGTTACTTCTAGTTGTAAGTATGGAATCTTTGTTCCTGTCTTCACTCTCTGCCATTCACAATGGTGGGTTTGCTTAATATCATATAGTTTTAGCGCTCACAATCATCATAGGCCTGCGTTCCCTGATGAGAATGAAGAAAAAGGGTAATATTGTTTTAGATGGTTTTATAGTTGGAGTGTATTTTTAGTGTATGCAGAAGTACTTAAAGCCTTATCCTAATAACTAACAAGTAATTGACACTTAGAGCAAGATGATAACAACAGATATATAGGTTTGCTGAGCAAAAAACAAACAGATATATAGTTTTAGGCATTTCATGATGTTGGTCGAATATATTACCCCCTGTAATATCATGTCCTTCCCTGCAGATTCATATGTGTGGTGGGATTGGCAAAGGTGGGAGAAAGAGATAGACTGGATGGCTCTTCAAGGAATTAACCTACCTTTGGCATTTACAGGCCAAGAAGCCATTTGGCAAAAAGTTTTCATGGTGAAGAGCTTTTAATGTTATTAAGCATCTTGATTTGTCCATATGGGTGCCATCTTATTAGTTTTCTCTTATGTTAATGTTATCTGTGCATAATGGACTCAGTTCTACTATTGAGAATTGGCTTTTAATTTCTAGGGTTTTAATATTAGCATGGAAGATTTGAATAACTTCTTTGGTGGACCTGCTTTCCTTGCTTGGGCTCGCATGGGAAATTTACATGGGTAGGTAAATAATTTTTTTTTACTGTCATGCCTATTTCTCAAACGTACTTACTACAAATAGAAGTTAATGTCAAAGTTGCCAGTTCTATATTTCATATTTGAATAGACACATTGGTTTTATTACACACTTTGGCATAAGAATGAATTATCCATATGGGTTATTAGTTAGAAAGGGTTTGAGCCAAATTATACCCACCAAGTAGAAACTAATGTATAAGCCAATTTTAGCTGTCATCACGAATGGGTTATATGCACAATTAGTGTTCGTAGTGAATGAGTGTTCTATAGAACCTTCTATGATCCCTCCCTTGAAGGTATTTCAAATTTTTTTATATTATAGTGTACTCATGCCCTTGTCAATTACAGAACATGATCATGATTATAAGGGCTTTAACAAATTCTAGTCATCTCAAATAGAATCATAATATGGTGCAAGGAATGCAATATTTTTGTTGAACTTTTGTGAATTGTTGAGTTAGTGAGTTTGTAATGAGTCCTGTTCTTCATTATACTTATCCTCTGCCTTTGGTTTGTTTGGATCTAAGATTTATTTTATCACAGGTGGGGTGGGCCTTTATCAAAATACTGGTTGAAACAGCAATTAGTTTTACAAAAAAAGATACTATCTCGAATGTTAGAGCTAGGCATGACTCCAGGTATGGTCATCTGATGGAATTATATTTTCATTCTCAGTGTTCATGTCACTTTGTGTATGTCTAATGCATCAAATAATTGCAGAAAAATTTTGTTCAAAGTTGGTTGGCACCTTCTAGTTTCATTATTGTTTAACGACGTAGCTAATAAACTATAATGTTTTCTATCTGCTCTAGTGCTTCCGTCGTTCTCTGGGAATGTTCCAGCAGCTTTGAAGACCATATTTCCTTCAGCAAATATAACTAGACTAGGGGACTGGTACTTAATTTTCTACCATTGAGCACACATTATAAATTAATGATAGCATCCCTCATGGGTTTCACATAACACAAATTATGAATTGTTATTAATATTTTAATTATTTTGGACCATACATATGCATCATACGAATCATATCTGGTGGTTATTGCAAACCTTATCTGTTTATGTTTATCTGCATGAGTTTAAAATTCTGTTTTTTACCCCTTACTAGGAATACTGTAAATGGTGATCCCCGTTGGTGCTGCACTTATCTCCTGAATCCTTCTGATCCTTTATTTGTCAAGATTGGAGAGGCTTTTATTAGGCAGCAAATTGAAGGTGTTACTTGAATTAACCTTGTATTTGTTTAATCAGTATTATTATTATTTGTATTAATGTTTTAGGGAACATTCAGCTTTTGACAATAAAATGATTGGGAAACTTTTTTCTTTTAAAATAAATGGAAAATGTAGGTCAAAAATCTTTATTTACTACTACATGATTCTGTTAGGATGCTGAATAAAAATAAGAAGGGAATTAGTTTTATACCAGGTGAAACTCTTACTTTGGCTTCATATATCTGAACATGTGAAACAAGCAAAAGAGGACGGTATATTCCTAGTACGGGGGTAACATGAAATTTAGGTGTTAAATACACCACCTTTACTGAGATCTTATGTTTATGTTGACTTCATTTATGTGAAGTATGAAAACAAGGAAAGTACCAGAAAAGGTAAGCCTTTAATTTCTGAATTGATGACACATTTTATATTTCTGCTAGACAAAAAATATATTTAATAAGATCTGTGGTTAAATGTGAGCATTGTACAATGTAATCTTCTCTTCTTGATGCGTTGATTACTTATTTTGGGTTCACGCTGTCTTCATCTACTTCAGAATATGGGGATGTGACGGATATTTACAACTGGTAATTTCCTTTATTCCACCAATCATAAAATGAGCGTCTAGCACTTACACACACACACACACACATTTATTTATTTTTATGTATGTAAAATGTACTTCTTCATCTTCCTTTTCTTTCTGTTTGTTAGGTCTTTTTTTTCCTTTTTTCATTTTAGGCTGTGTGTACTTTGTACTATACTTGTGACATGGAATAAATACATATTACCTAACTGCAGTGACACGTTCAATGAAAATTCACCACCTACAAATGACCCAACATATATCTCTTCACTTGGCGCTGCTGTGTATAAAGCAATGTCCAATGGTGACAAGGATGCTGTGTGGTTGATGCAAGTATGCTCCTTACTGCTCCTACACCACCCCCTGTTTTTTTCTGTTTCTTCTTTTGTGAATATTTTGTCATATACCAATAGAATAACCTATGATGTTAGATCCTATACAGCTGCTGTTTCAACTACCATACACAATCAGGCATTTTTTTTTTTATTAATATGTAATGTCATATTGGGCTGATAAGAAATTTTCCTTGACTGCTGAAAATTATATTTTTGATGTCTCTGGTTTAAGACATAAAATAATGGATAAGCAGCTCAGGTAAATCCTACTTTGTTATATGAATATCTGACTTGCATGATCTTTTTACCATATGTCTTGACCATACAAGGCCATACGTACGTTAGCTCCTGCACTGCAGGTTTCTTTTCTCAGTTCAATTATTACTTAATTATTCTACCAATGTGCAGGGTTGGCTTTTCTACTCAGACTCAACTTTCTGGAAGCCACCCCAAATGAAGGTATATATTTACTTAGGACATTAGTATTAGCTAGCATATTTAGTTCTTACCTAGTCATTGTTATGGAAGTAGATTAAATAATTTTGAGGTGTATGAAAAGTTTTATCCCTTTAAATGTTCTAAACTATACAATTGATGTCTGGACGATCACTCAGTTTTGAAGTTATTGAGTTCTCAACTAAGGCTTCTAATAGGAAAAGAGACATGGGTGATAAGGAGGATTGATGGATCTTGCTACAGCTAACACCTTGTGCGTTGGTGCAGGAAATCACTGTGATAGCCAATGGATAGAGCATTATGATCATAGCATTTGATAGAACTGGATCTTCAAGTATTATTGGTTTCTGAATAATTCTCAAGCTTAGGAACTTGTACCCTTTGGCATCATAAAATTGCTAGGGTCATTTTCTTAAGTTATGTTGATCATATGACTGGTGATATCTGCAGGCACTTTTGCATTCTGTTCCACAAGGGAAAATGATAGTTCTTGATTTATTTGCTGATGTCAAACCAATATGGGCAGCTTCCTCTCAATTTTATGGCACCCCTTATGTCTGGTAGTAGTCTCATCATTTTCTCCTCCTGCAATTTCACAGCATTACATAACCATTAGCAGGATGTGATTAGTTTTCAAATTATCTTTCTTAATTATTTTTTTTATCCCCTTTATTATTTTTCGAGATTGATGTTTGTAGTAAAAACATTCACTGTTGAGGTTTTATATATACATATGTATATCAGGTGTCTATTGCATAATTTTGGAGGAAATATTGAAATGTACGGTACATTGGACGCAATTTCTTCAGGTCCAGTTGATGCTCGCATCAGTGAAAATTCAACCATGGTATGCAGAGGGTCATGTGTTTGAATACCTTCTAGTTATTGCTGTGAAACTTATATTTCAGATATGTAAAACTTTTAGGACTACAAAGTGCTATTTTAGACTAAGCAACATGATGGTATTAGTTAAAAGATAACATAACTTCCATGTATACACCTTCTATGTGATACCGTTATTTTCACATTTTTTTGAACTTATTTTTTGCGTTCAATGGTGTTAGATGACTTTAGATGTATGATACTATATGAACTCTCAGTACTTCTGTCTTCTGACACAATTTTTTTATTTTGAAGAGCTTCTGACACAATATTACTTTAACGTTTCGATAATGGAACTTTTAATAATGTCTGATGTAGGTTGGTGTTGGCATGTGCATGGAAGGCATAGAGCAAAATCCAGTTGTTTATGAGTTAATGTCTGAAATGGCATTTCGAAAGGAAAAAGTTCAAGTTCTGGTAATTGCATTCAATTGCTGGAAGTACTTTTTGTTTTAGAACTTAAAAATGATGCTAATTACCTTTTTCCTCTTTCCTATTCTGTTAAGATAAAGTCCATTATGTTTCAAGTTAGAAGATAGGACTCTCTCTCTCTCTCTCTCTCACACACACACACACACATACATTTCGAGGTTTTAACTCTATATTCTGAAGCTTTACTGAAGATCATGACATAATTGAGATGCATGTAGTGATATTGCTCTAATGCTTCTTTTCAATTGTCAAGGCTGTGCCAAAATCTAACTTCTTGCTTTGCAGGAATGGCTGAAGACCTACACTCATAGACGTTATGGTAAATCAATTCAACAAATTGAAGAAGCTTGGGAAATATTGTATCACAGTGTTTACAATTGTACAGACGGAATTGCTGTATGTTTCTCTGTTGAGATGCAAATTGCTATCTCATATTTACTTCCGTATTTTACTCTTAATTCAAAGATGCCAATGTTAGCTGATTACAATATGGTTGGCCTTCAAGTTTTGCTGTGGAAATATATCTACTTGGAATAGATTCTTCAGCTGCAATCTTTAACTTTTGAGTTTTGTACTTTAGGACATTTTCTAACCAAATAGGAGCTAATGTAAACTCTTCCTTTGTTTCAGGACCATAACACAGATTTTATAGTCAAATTTCCAGATTGGGATCCATCAACAAATTCTGGATCTCAAACATCAAAGCTAGACAATATGCATAAGCTCCGCACAATAACTGAAAACAGAAGATTTTCATTGCAAGAAACTAGCTCTGATCTGCCTCAAGCACATTTGTGGTATTCTACTCATGAGGTTGTCAATGCTTTAAAACTCTTCCTTGCGGCTGGAAATGATTTAGCTGGGAGCCTCACATATAGGTCAATTCTTTTTACTTATTTTCTTCTCTTCCAGATATCTATCGAAAACAATATATAAAAGCAACTTCTGGTTTCTGAATAGTCCTTTATGTACTGGCTACCAGTTAAGCTATATGCATCTATCATTTCCTGTTATATACTTGTGGCTAGTATAGTCTACTTGAAATGAAAAAGAATGTCCCCCTTCCCCATTAGGCTCATTGTAGTCAAATCTTCAGCAAGAGTTATCTTACCCGCGACACCACCACCCCCCCCTTCTTTTCCCAACCCTTTTATTCTACCCCTTCTCACCTCTTCATCTAGCAATATTTATCAATAGTTCTTTCCCCCCTCTGTTCCCTGAGGAAATTGCAGTTAAAACATTCAACTTGAACCATGAAGAACAAAATGCAGAGATATGCTTAGATGATATTTAAGTGCTCAATAAATTTGTCAGCTTATTTGGATCAAGCTTTTGAAGGGCACAACCATTCAGTAACAAACTAAAAATACATAAATGGTGAGGAAATTGAAAAACCATCTTTCCCATAAGTTTCAGCTGCCTTCATCATTATCATGCTGATGATATATCTTACTCAGTTGATATTAGAAGATTAACAGATTCTGTGATGCATGCTAGAACTAGAAGAAGAGGAGGTAAAAACATAAATAAGAATTATATCTCCTTATGCATGGTTTTTTGACAGATATGACGTAGTTGACTTAACACGTCAAGTGCTGTCGAAGCTAGCGAACCAAGTCTATTTGGATGCAGTGAATGCTTTCCGAAGGAAGGATGTCAAAGCTTTGAATGTTCACAGTCAGAAGTTTCTTCAACTAATAAAGGATATCGATATTCTTCTTGCTTCTGATGACAATTTTCTGCTTGGAACATGGCTCGAAAGTGCAAAAACGTTGGCAGAAAATCCAAGTGAGATGCAACAGGTGTGAACAAATATTTTCCTCATTGTTTTGTTACTTTAGTAGCTGAATAATCAGTCAGGGACAATAGCATGCCATTTCATTGGTCATATTGCACAGAAAAGTTGAGTCAGATTTTGGTGCTGGATTAATCAGATGTCTAATGGTATATCTAGCATTTTCCAGTGGTTCAATGCTCATGGACTTACATCTGTTCTCTGTGACAGTATGAATGGAATGCTAGAACGCAAGTGACGATGTGGTTCGATACCACAACAACGAATCAGAGCAAGCTTCATGATTATGGTAATTTTAAACATATTCCATCATTTAATATAAATCGATGCCTTATCTCTGGTGTAACATTTCATCTTTCTTTCTCCTCATTAGCGAACAAGTTTTGGAGTGGACTGCTGGAAGGGTACTATCTTCCACGAGCTTCGAGCTACTTTAGTTATCTGTCAAGAAGCTTGAAGGAGGATGAGAGTTTCAAGTTGGTGGAATGGAGGAAAGAATGGGTAGCATTCTCAAATAAATGGCAAGAAGGTGTAGAACTGTATCCGTTGAAGGCCAAAGGAGATTTCCTTGCTATCGCCAAAGCCTTGTTTGAAAAATATTTCAATTAAGATTAGTCGCAAGATTAACAATTCAAAAACAAGATTAAGAAAGCAGAAGAGTTCTTTCTTATATTAACATTTTAAGTACAATTAGAATCTGAAGTGTGATTTCTTTTTTCTTTTTTTCTTTTCTTCTATCATTTTCTCATCCAAATCTATTGAACAACTGTTACATGGATGCCTAGAGTAAAACTGGTTCCTTTGTCAAAATCCCAAAAGCCAGGCACCACCAGTGAGTAGTAGCAGCTGCTCTCGGAAGACAGACATGATCACACCACTTTCAGACATCTTTTCCTCTGTTTCTTGTAATTACCATCTCTTGCATTCGACCTTGTCTGTGGTGTTAAAAGGGGTTGCTCTAGGCTTGGAGCGAAACCCATTTTTCCATCCATCTCATTCTTCATGTTTTCATCATCATCATCATCATCATCATCAACATCAATGTTATCAAAGTTAGGTCCATATAGTCATAAGATTGCTTCCGGAATGGCACCAAGCTTGCTGCTAAGATATAATTGTGTAGGAACATCACATTTGTGGAGACCTGAGACTGCATCCGTCTGTGTCAAAGTTAATGCTAGCAAAGGTTCTAGCAAGAAAGTTTGATTCTCATTTTTTCTTTCATCCTTCCTTATTTCTTCCAGTACTGCTTTACTTGTGTCAATACCTGTAAACATTTAATCTCAGAATTGGTCAGAACTCAGACAATAGGGTTCCCGAATTTCTCTCGAGTCAGTTAAATTTTCATGTATCCTCACCTGCAAGGTATCCACCATGCACATAGCCATTAAATCTTTCACTCGTGTGTTCACCTGTGAAGAAAATGCGTCCAACTGGGGCCTGAAGGAAATTAAAAAAAAAAAAAGGAAAAGGAAAAGACAACAGTGTTAAAATCATGATTCAATATTCCAATGCTTTTTGCTGCTTGCATTATGGGGTTATCTTAAGCATCCAAAGAAAAAGATTTTGCTTTATATTTCTCTGTATCATGGATAAAATAATCAACCAAAAGCGGCACTATGACCAGCAGAAAAGCAGAGCATTAGATAAATGGCTTTTCTTCCATACATATATATATATATAATTCTACCAGTCCTCAAATCAGACACAGGAAGAATTTAACAGTTCAAACTGATTCAAACAGTTGGATTTCTTTCATTCATTTTCAGATCATGCATTACTTGAATATTATCAATGGAAATATAGTTGCTAATAGCCTGAGAGATTAACGTTCAGAATGTCAAAACACATGCAGAGTAGAATTTGTTCTTTAAAGTAAATACTATGAGTTACCTTAATGTCATTCACAATTTGGTTATTAGAGATTATGGGGTAGTTGCTGTAGCTGCCACGCTGGAACCTGTTGTTCCACCAGCGGGGAACAAGGATACCGGTGGCATTAGGTATGTCGGGCCCAAACATGTCCCTAAGCACACCCATAGCTTCCTTCAACGTCTCTTCATCGGATTGAGCTTCCACACGTTTTGATTCACCATTCGTCAATGTTACGACCAAAATATTCGAACCAGGGTAGGCATTCTCCATGTGCTGATGACATAGCAACAGATCAGCAGCCAATTTGGATGAATTCAAGGAGCAGTTAGAAATGAATGGATGATACAAAACTCTGGTAGATGCTTAAAGATGTAGGATTCTCATTCAAAATATCAATTTTTTTTTTTATTAATCATTATACAAGTAAAGAATCTACATTGAAAAACTCAATACACCTCAAATAAGATAAAAGACAGTATGATTCCATATTGCCTCCACAAGAGGCCTCCTATCATTAAAAAGATGTTTTCTTCGAAATCAAGCAAGAGAAGTAAATTATGATTTTGTGGGTATCAAAGCTGATTATCAAAGGCATATGAACATCAGTCCCTCCATTATAAATACAGAAAACAGCGCGGATAGTGACTGGTTCCTACAATGCAACCAATCCACAGCTCTAAGACAGTGACCAAACACTATCAGATACACAAACATACAAAGAGAAACCATTCCGTGCCAACAATTCTCTTGCAGTTGGTAATCTCTACAAGGAAATAACTACTAAATATTTTAATTTATGTCTTTTAGCTGAGGTACTTGCCCCCAAAACTTGATTTAAGGTTGTGTTCATATGTGATAATACAAGTAGCATTTGTCATATTATCCCAAATCCATAGCATCAGTCATCACATTTTGACATATCATGTAATGCTAGTGATAGACCCTAACAGATTCGACAAACAACAAAGTCAACCACCAACCACATTACAGATTAATATATGCCAGTAATTACTGGAAATTTGTATTTTAGAGGCAATGCCCTATCAATTATGTAACATTACAGTGTTGTTGTTTTATGCGGAAAAACAGGGTTTTTATAACATGATAAATAGGTCAGCCTGGGATCAAGGGCAGCGCACACCGCAACGCATTGAATCCAAATAAAAAAAATGAAAAAAATATTGAATTTTCAGTTTTCTAAAGTGGCAGCAACAACAAAAGGATTAGTCAGACCAAACATCAAAGTTATCTGGCAACTATTTTATAAAGGAAAGAACGATTAAACTAACCTGCCAAAACGTGTAATAGCCTCTCCGCTCGTGAGCATAGATGAAGAACTCTTTCTCAGGCCCACAAGGCCAGAACTTACACGGAAACTTGAGGAAGATCTTGGTATACACCATCACATCACATTTATCTATGGCTTCCGTTTTCCACCTCTGTTACCATTTAATATTTTTTTCTTGATATTAATATTTAATCAAGCATAAGTAATTTTATAGTAATCAAAGGAAATTGTACACGATTAAGCAATCTAAAGCCCAGGGACCACTACAAGAAATAATTGCATGGGATATAATAAGCAAAATCATAGTCTGAGACTTCTCTAAGAAATTCTTTCCAAGCTCATTATGTGTAAGTGGTGGATTTTTCTTTTAAATAGCCAAATTATGACTTTCGCTGTAACAGACAACTTCCATAATTGACTAGCATTCAAAAAGGCATTTCTTCTTTGTTCCAAGTCTCATTATCATCACCTAAAATCCTACATACTAAACTCATTAATTTGATACTCACCCTCAAATTCTTCATATATTTTCTCATGGATTGTTGGTCACGTTCTCACACTAGTTCCAGTTCTACTACATATTAGCACAAATCAAGAGGATGAGTGATGACTACTGTTCTGTTCCTTATGGCTAAGTCTAAACATGGCTTACCTGCTCACACATACGCTTAAATCATGGGTTGCCCTAAGCATTAGTCCGAGTGAAATAGCAACACCTATCTATCATACATGACTATTGAGTTTTTGAGAAATCTAACTATCAAGCCAAAGTTTCCCCGGAAAAGCATGTTAAGGCTTTGAACCCCACACATTCTACCATTGCTAAGACTAGCCTGTTTAATTAGTAGTAGTCTCATATTTTCAAGAAAATGAAATGCAGCTGTCACAATATATTTTATATGCAGATTATCACCCTACACCGTACACGTGTTGTACTAAAAAAGAATCTCAAAGCCAGAAAAGAGCTAATCACATGAGCCTATGGGTTACCAAATCTGTGGATCACCGTGCAACCCATGGTATTTGCTTATAATAAAGGCATCTCGAAAATATATATCCCTTTCATCACCCACCAGCAATCTCTATTTAATACAGCTAAGTGGCTGGAGCCATGAATTCTGACTCTTTCCAACTTTATGATATTTAATATTGTGGTCCACACCTTAAAAAAACAGGAAAACACTTTGGCAACTCCCATCTATGGGGACCCATAGCCTAGGGTTCTTATCCTATTGCATTCAACGGTCAAGATCCTCCTATTAATGCAGATAATGTTGATGAACAAGCGTTCATAGAAAAGCTAGATTCTAGTGGGTTTTTACTACTATAAAAAAGGGAGATAAAAATATATAATAAAGAAAGAGGATACGTACGGGCAAGGGGGGCCTGAAGGAAATGAGATCGCTTTGGAGAACACCAATGCTAGCAGACAAAATCACGTAGTTGGCTTCGTAGACGCAACCATCTTCTGTTATCACCGTGACGCCGTTTCTCGAGTGCTGTAATTCCCTGACAACCTGCCCCGAATCCATGCACAAAGAAACATCTTCAGCATCATAATAATATATGATACTAGTAAACAGGAAATAATAAATTATTTGAAATTTAAAAAAAAAATTAGTAGAAGCCCAAGGTAACAGCCAACGAGTCTCAAAAGATTCTGAGAAGTCAAAGCAAGAAAACCCGTGCAGTTCAGATATCAGAAGCAGAAACGGGAAAGATTTATTGAAGGAGGTACATTGAGCCCCATGCCCCCATTACCTATTTAAGGGAGGCTTCTAAAAGACTCTGTGAATAGTAGAAAAAAAAAAGGGGGAAAGTGTTCACTATTTGTCTGATTTTAGAGCAATCGAGATAGTGAAGACAACAACATATTAAATGAAGAAAATGACAAGACTCTCTATTTGCATGTTCTTATGTGAGTTTGATAAGACATCTCAACTCCTGGGTGTTGTTCCCTGGTCATTGTGGACAGTGCGCAGGATAGTGAAAATTGGGGAACTTATGGCCCTACTGATTGATGATAGTAAGGTAAAAGTGCTTGGAAGGTTTTAAACATGAAGCTCGATTGAAATGAAAATATAAGGTCAAACTATGCCCTGTTTAAGGGTCCTCAACTCCTCAAAGTTTCACCACTTTGCATCATTGAAATTGCTCATAGTTGGGAACAGACCCAACATCTGAGGTTGACTAATTATATTCTTGTTTTCAAACGTGTTAAAATCATTGCAGTGAAGGAAAAGAAAAGTTCAGCTCATAAATCAAGAAAAAAAAAACCAAGGAGAATTCCAATAATTTCAACGAGAAATATATACTATTAGTGCTAGAATTAAAAGAATAATGAGCTTTGGTCTATGATCATGATGACGATGATGATATGATAGCAAGAAAAGAAAAAAGATGATAAAATAATTCATTAAGAAAAGAAATTAAAAAACAGAACCCTGAAAACAGTTGACCCCCTATAGTGAAGAAAAAGGTGTATCTAAGAAACATTATATAATAATAAAAACAATAATAAAATAAACAAAGGTGAAAATAGCTTTCAGTAAAC